TCAGAGTTAATCACTTAAGTAATGACTGGAATAAGAGACACCTCGGAGACGTGCACGATTTTACAGGAAATATAGACTCTAGACTATGGATTTCCAAATAAAATGTTTTCTGTCTAGATATTCTTCTAGAAAAAAAAAAAGATTTGCCAACTCTTTGATTTTTTTTCATTAAAATCAAAATTTATCAAAGACTTGCTTTTGTTACCTCTTTTTAAAGAACTCACGATAAAATTTATCCTGAATATGTATCATAAAGATGCTTTTATTCTTTTTTGAAGTAAGAGCAGAGAAAGAGACAGAGAGACAGATGAAGTGAAAGAGAGACTTTCCTAAGTATTTTAAGTGTTAATTTCATACAAACGTTCCTTTCCAGCATTGGAAATAATTTATATTGAGTGCCAAATCTATTTATATTTTGGGGACTTTAATTTCTTTAAAAGGAGTATTCCTAGCAGAAATATTAGGATGCAATATATGATTACAGCTATTATTTAGCAATGATGATTTATTTACATCATACATTGTTAGCTCTAAAGGCATCCCCCAAATACCTGGATACCACAAACTCAAGCATAAGCACAACTATTTTAAAAATATTACATACCTAGTGCTGCAAGTTCCTATTTTGTTTGCTTTTTATATGTGTAAAAGCGTCTACATATATGTTGACTGTCTATCAGTGCTTGACTCTGTTAAAAGCATTGGAGATAGAGAAGTGAACAAAACAGCTACAAATCCCTGTCCTCATGGAACTCACATTCCTCAGGGAAGGCTACTCGAGTGCACCAAGTTATGGATGCCTTTCAAGAGAGGCTGAATAGTACTTGACACCATATATTATGCTGAAGGCTCCATGAGATGTATCCTCTTGGAAATTAAACTTAGCTCCCTTCAAAGTCCTACTTTGGTACAGTTCACCCCTTAATAGCTGGTAGACACAATGGCCCTGGGCCTGTGGATAAACCATTAACTTCTGTGTTTCAGTTTACTGATCTGCAAAAAGTATTACACTGTGCATTTGCTAAGGTTGCATGTTAAAAATTCTTGACTTTATAACTTTGGAATTATATGCTACTTTTCTGAAGGTAAGGGTTCAACCCTCATTCTTTCTAGATATATCTAAAATGAGATGGATTTGGATGACCTGACGAGCTACTAGAAGCCTGTCCCTTCCTCTCTTTCTGCCATCACATTCGGTGACACATTATGGCAGTTGTGCACCTTGAATAGAATGGTTTTGCCACATAGAAGGGGGAAATTTGAGGTTGAGTTTATAAGTTATGCTCCTTTTTCATCTCACTCAAACATATTTCTTACCTTCTGCAGTAGACTGGATGTGTTAAATATGTCATTTTGCTTCATAATCCCAGCCAATGCCTCTCTCAGTATCATGCACAATGAAGGAGAAGGGCCGTGGGGCAGTGGGGTGTATCACCTAATAAAGACTGATTTTGTCTACATACATTTGAAAAAAAATGTGTAATCAATGACAATGCATATGATTCCTTTCCTTTATGACATACATGCAGCAACCAATTCATTTATTCTCTAACATTTTCTGGAATGCAGCCCTGACTCTACTTTACAGTATTTCATTTTAGATGGAAATTTCTAGTGTAAAAATGTTCCTTACTGTGTAATCTGTTGCAACCTTAGCTTCAACTATGATATATTTCTTTTAATGTCTTACAGGAAGATGATAGATTGATACATAGATAATAGATAGAATAAAGACTTGTCAAAATATTAGCAATGATTTCTGTTAAGTGAAAGTCATATAAGAGTTTATTATTGGGACACCTGGGTGGTTCAATTGGTTAAATGTCCAACTGTTGATTTCAGTTCAGGACATGATCTCGGGTCGTGGAATTGAGCCCAGTTTGGGGCTTAGCTTAGAGTCTTCTTATGCCTCTCTCTCTCTCCTTCTGCCCTTCCCCTTGCTCTTTCTCTAAAAATGAATAAGTAAAATCTTTCTAAAATGAATTTATTCATATTCTTGTAATATTTCTGTAGTTTTCAATATTTTTTTCAAAATATGAAGTGTAATTTAAAAGTTTTTCTGAGGGACACCTGGGTAACTCAGTGGTTGGGTGCCTGCCTTCCACCCAGAGCATGATCCTGGAGTCCCGGGATCGAGTCCCACATCAGACTCCCTACAGGGAGCTTGCTTCTCTCTCTGCCTGTGCCTCCTTCTCTCTGTGTCTCTCATTAATAAGTAAATAAAATCTTTAAAAAATATTTTTTTCTGAGAAATATATTGTAATGAGTAATAAAATAGAGGGAAGATTTATAATAAAAGAGACTGAGAAACATATCAGATCATGAGGATGTTTGACCCTTATTTGAAATCTGTTTTAAGAAAAGAATAAAAGATTAGAATTTCAAAAGAAAATAAATCCATTTTGAAAAAACTAGTTTAAACTACTAGATGATTGTAATTATTTGAACACACTGGATATTTGATGATAGTGAGGAATGATTGCAGTTTCTTCATTGTTTTTGTTTCTTTAGGTCTGATAATGGTTTTGTGATGATTTTGTAAAAAGTCCTATTTTAGAGAGATATTCTGAAAGAATTTAGGTGACATTACAGTAAGTTGGGAATTTTAAAATTATCTAGAGTAGAGGAAAAGGTATGAGATAGGGTAGATAAGTTGAAACAAGGTTGACCCTGAGTTGATAATTGTTGAATCCAGCTGATGGTTACGTGCAGGTTATTATACTATTTCTACTTTTTTATGTGCTTAAAAGTTCGAACATAATAAAGTGCTATGAACCAGATGATGTCTTTGGTTCAAATATGGGCTGCACATTTATTCATTATACATCCTTGACCTAATTATTTAACTTTCCTATACTCTGGTATCTTTACCTGTTAATATGAGAAAATGTTCAAAATACACATCTCTATAATTCTAATCAGGATTAAATGAGTGAATACAGGCACGGTCTTAATCAGCGATTGATCAAAAACAAGCACTGAGTAAATGTTCGCTATTGTTTTTAGATTTGTTTTTCTCTTCAAATCTAGGCTAAGGCTAATATTTTGGAAGAATGCAGTTTACCTAAAAATCTCAGTTTGGTTTACTCAAAAATTCTCCTACTATTTTTTGTGGAAAGAATTAGCAAGAAACAATTATTGCTTCTCTGAGGGAATATCAGTCTTAGAAAAAATAAACCTACACAATAATAAGAAATAATGAAATATTTCAAGAGAGGAAGTAGCTTAACTGTAATTATAATTAATGGTGAGAATCAACTAGTTTGCAAAGAAATTGCTGTTCAAGAATATTATTTTGAGAGCTAACTCAGTTCTGAGCCAAAAACTATTGCCATTATAATATAACTCATATTGATTGGAATTTTATCTCTGCTTCACACACTTTAGCCATGAAATCATAGTACTTAATTTTTGTTTCATTTAAATTGGCTAATCCACAAAGTATTTTAAAGATTTTGTAAAAATTCAGTAGCGAGTTTAGTTATATATGACTCATTTTCATCTTTTTAAACTATGTTTTTTTAAAAAACAAATTGGAAGGAATCAAAAAGAATAATAGGAAGTATTTCATAAATATGCTGAGAAGTGATAAATATTGAATTGAAAAATCATATATAAATGATTTGATTTTGTAGCTCACCACCTCTGTGCCATTGATAAAACTAATAAAACAATGGTCATTGTCTTCACAGCGAGAAACTGGGTTATATATTTTTAGACTATGGCAACTATATATATCAGTTACTATAATGTATGTTATAAGGTATATATTCAAATATGGTGAATTTTATGATACATGATAGGTGCATAAATGCATGATACAATAAAGTAAGGAAAGTCTTAGTTATTCATTAAATTACAATTAGTGAACCGCTTTTACATTTTGTAGAAGCAATTTATGAGTCCTTTTTAGCCTGTGTATTTAGAAGGAGGACAATTGCCATGGCCCTAGAGAGCACTGTGTCTTCCCCCCCTCCATATCCTGGAGACTGAGAGAGTGAGCTTCTTAGAGTAGCGCAGAAGAGGCCTGAATACGTAGTTAATTTGAATTTTAAAGAAATTGAGGATGAGGGAATCTGTAAGTTAATATACTCTGTGTAGCAACTGAAATTTAGTCTTCACATCAGCACTTGAGCAAAAGACCTGAGCACTGCTTCAACGTGTAGCATATATTTACGTCTAACAACATTAACATTTAAGGAAGCGTGAAACAGCAAGTAGATTTAGATTTAAGAAAACCTAAAAACCATGAGCGTTTTTGCTATTTTATATTTTGTAAATGAAAGCTAATGATAACTGACTACGTTTTTTCGGGGGTTTGATTATATAGCCATCTTTGTTTACTGTGAGCATGATGAAAGCAATCTGCTTATATACAGTTTAATCCTCAGTTTAGGTAAATAACTTGCAGGAAAGAATCTCATTTTCTAAAGATTAGAGAATTTTTAAAAATTCAACTTCAAATGGTGTGGGTCAAGATGGAAACATTAGTCAAATGAAATCTAGTTGGGATGAAAAAAGTTGCGCTCTAGATATCTAAAGAAACAAGCAAACAAAAATACCAAACATGCATATTTGTGCAGCAATATGGGCTTCTTCATGCAGGACACATTTTAGATGTTGTTCAGAATTTACAAGTTTTATGTTAACTAAGCCATTGCCAGTTAAATCAGCAGTTGGATCAACATAAGTGTATGATTTTTGTTGTTTTCTTTGCCAACGCAGCTCAGGAACTTGTTCAAGCAAGGGCTTCTATTTTTTTGGGTTTGCTACTCCGTGTCTTTGCTATTCTTTCCACCGTTTACCTTGGCTTCTTCTGTTAATCTTTGATTCTCCTCAGCTCATAATTTCTTTTGGTTTCGTTTGCTGGAATTTGCTTTATTTTTCTTTGTTGTGTTCTGTTTCTAACTCTAATTATTACGCTAAAGTTGACAACTGTCAGAACAAAGTCAAATCAGGGAAGAACTAATAGCTGCCTTCCTTGAAATTTTATTTTTTAGGATTATGCTGAGAAGGAAAACACCATAGCAAAAGCTCTGGAAGATCTGAAGGCCAATTTTTACTGTGAACTCTGTGACAAGCAGTACTATAAGCATCAAGAGTTTGACAATCACATTAATTCATATGACCACGCTCACAAGCAGGTAAGAAAGAGGTGTCCATAAAACCCTGATATTTCTGTCCTTTTGTCATAATTTAAATTGTATAAGCTATGTAAATACAGTATTTTTATGCTTTCATTATTCAATGTTTACAGATGCCATTCTGGCATGATAATTTGATGACTTATAGCAAAAGACATTTTTCCTAAAAAAAAAAAAAAAGAAAAAGAAAGAAAAGAAAAAGCACTGAAAGTCTGAAATAAATAACCAATACAAAGAAATACCAGTCAGTTGCCTCTTAATGATGGACAGTAATTTAAAAATTATATCCCACAGGTGGTGCTCCTCTAAATGTCTTCCAATTTATTTTTTTAAGTGTTTTGAACAGCTAATAATACTTATCAAATATAAATTAAGTTATTCACAATTCTTTACAGAAGCCATTTCCCATTTAAATCACCGTAAAAATATGAAAAGAAAACCAATTTAATATGATTAAAATAATCCATAGTTATCGGTTAAATAAGTACTTAATATGTGATGATATAGTTTATTTTAATATTATTTTCCTTTCACTATCAATTGTAAATCCAAGATTGATTTTTTTCCCAACACTCTATGTAAAGATGAGCTTAAAGCAGTAATGTCAGAGGTGAAGTTAATGATAAAGATTCCATTTTCTCATAAGCTTTACATTTATCAGTGTGACCTCACATGTTGTTTAGCTACCTTGATATGGTACAGCAGTTTTAGTTATCACTAATTAACAAATATTTTCATTTTTTTTTAGCGAATATCATCTGCATCGCATTTTGGTATTAATAAAAGGTGTATTTTTTAATCCATGAATTTGCACTTATTTCCTTAACAGTAGAGTTAGTTAGCATAAGAAAGAATAGGGGAAAATGATCATGTTGAGCGCTTATGAATCAATTGCATGTATTTTCTTTTGCTGTCAATCCCTCCATGCCTTCATACCAACAAAACTTTGCTGGAGGAGGCTGTTGTACAGAGAACATTAGCCTTCGTTTACATACATCACTAATTAATGCATATTAGTCTTGATGATCCTTGCCTTTCTTTTTCCAAGTCTGCTTGCACACTAGTTAAGGGAAAATGTTTGATGGAAATAGTGTTCTTTTTCTTGCATAAAAACACAATACGTAAATACATATGCACACACATCCATCTATCAGTGCTTGATTTGAATAGTAAAATCCATCAGGCAATAGTATTGATTTAATTTTGCAGTTAGTGGCCCAGGTTCTATAACAGGATTCTGGACCGCGTCTCCCGAGGTGGTAAATCTGAGAAATTTGTTCCTCTGATTTTTTCCTAAGTACCTAACAGCCCAAGATGTGTTATCGTATATTTGTTTCATTGTGTAAACTAGGTATGTGGAAATACGTGTATATGTGTTTTACGACCGTCTTATCAGCTATTAATATCACTTGCCAAAGAACGCTCTATTCAACCATAGATTGCCCGGGAGATCAAGCTCACAGAGGTCATCACCAGGACTTTTCCAGTTCCATATGCTTAGCACAGTTAGGATACTCTGCACTGTACACAGATAAGCCAAGGAAATTCAGGCTGGGTCTGGGTTGTTATTTTGAAAATCCCGCAGGTCACTTTTGATACTGTTCAGGGGTATCAGACCCTAGAGACAGACACATTATCTGAATGGCCGTGGACTCTGAAAGACAGCAGTCTTACTTGATTAATTTAGCACGAATCAGTGTTACGGTTGCCGAAAATATTTAAAATCTATATCCCCTCCCCATGGGATGGTGACAAATCTTTCAGCGTGTCTTCCAAAAATATACTCTCCCTTTGCCCAGCAACAGCCTCACCCTCATGACTACTACCAGCATTCCCACCACATGATGCCACAACTTGGCAACTTTGAGTGAAGTAAGGAAGGATGAAGTTCGGAGGTGGATAATTCAGATTTTTGTTTCTCTTGAGAAACTAAAAAGTTGAGATGCCAAAAAAAAACACAAAAAAATCTGTCTTCTGTCTGACTGTGGTTGGACCAAACCCTTGAAAATATAATCCTGAGGTGTGGCTAAGTCTGTCAAAAAGTTGAGAAAGCTGGTTTGCAAAAAGAAAGCACAAAACAATGGGCAAAGAGTGACTTGCAAGTGGCCGAGTGATGAGTGAAGGAGAGTGAGGATGGACATGACATGGCAATTCTTATTTTGAGTGGCTTTCACCTAAGACTAGTCCTTCCAACAGCTTATCTGTAGGTCCTATCCTTAGATTCCTGGAGATATTTCACCTTGCTTCTAATAAATGAACTTAAAGGAAAAAGCAAACCAAACCCTAGCTTAATACTTTTTACTTGCAACCAAACCAAACCAAACACCCCTCTTCTTCATAAAAAATATTATTGTATCTGCTGACAATCGTTTTGGTTTCCGATAGAAGAAGCTCCGCAAGAAACACATAGACTCAATGTCCGTATTACCAGTGCTTAACCTTCGGGTGGGAAAACCCACAGCTGACTGGGATATTTCTTGAATGGAATTCGAGAAAGGCAAAGAGGACACACATCAGTTGCTTTTGCTCACCTGTGCGGCCGTACAGACATGATCCCAAAGGGCCGCCAGATTCGGGGAGAAGCGGAGGAGGAGTTATCAGTGGAATGAGTCCCAGCCCTGCCCCTCTCCTGACTTGGGTAAAATACACCCAGGCTCAATTAACTCAAACATTCATTGTCAGGGAAAATAAATGAGAGAATGCGATGACCACGCTTTGTTGAGTATTTGAAGAAATAGTAAAAAGCTCAATATTTAATTAGTTGTATTATTACTACTTACTAAAATTTCTTTTCTCCTAGAATGTTTGGGACCCTGACAGTTTGCCTTTGAGACTGCCTTTATTTAAGCTTCTAGTAAGGATCTATTTTTGCTTCAGAAAGGCTAATAAAGTCTAAAACATATCCAGGTAATCGTGACCGCAGAGCAGTGTGCCTGCCTCATGTATCTTTGCAAATCGGTCATGACAGACCATGTGTTGCATTTGAACTCTAAGCTTCAAAGAACAATCTGCTTCTCTCATCCTGCATGTTCTTTGGGTAACTTCAAAATCTCTCTCAAGCTCCCATCGCTAAGACTTGCTAACAGAGAATTAAAAAGAGGAAGAGGCACCCGGTGTACAGAGGTGATCACAACAGTTCACGATTCAGGGTTCATTTTTAGAATATTTTCTTTTTAACTTTGAAACTTGAAAGTCGTTGGGCTGTGACCCTTTAATGGCAAGGACCGTTTCCTTTCTGTCTTCGTCCTCACAGCATCTCGTGCAGCATCTTGCACAGTTTAGACACCCAGTTGGTGCCTCCTACATGAATATAAAAGGGCTAGAGTCAGAATTGCACTTAAGATCTTGTGATAAAGCCACAGTTTTGAGATCGCTGAGCCCTGGCTGTGTATGGAATTGTTAAATCTTTATACTGTGCACCTGAAACAAATATTTTTTAAAAGTATGCTAATTATACTCTTAAAAAAAAAAAACAAATAAGGGGCCCCTGGGTGGCTCAGTGGTGGAGCGTCTGCCTTTGGCTCAGGTCATGGTCCCGGGGTCCTGGGATCGAGTTGGGAAGAGTTGAGAAAGGGAGTGGTTGCCATGTTGCTGCAGCCCCTCAAATATTTTGATTTTAACTTTTCAGTGCGACTGAAGTGTCTCCCAAAAGGCACCAGGGTGACCGTCCCCGGGAAGGTGAAGATCCAGGGCTTGGGAGGGAGCACCCCGCAGGCCCGGGGGGTGGGCATCTGGGGGCTGTGGGGACTCGGATGGCCCTAACAACGGAGCACACTTAGCCTCAAGTTGGACATTTCCTAATGATTTCAACTTCTGTTCACTAATCCGATGCTTCAGAGAAGAACCACTTCTTGATGTGCGGGTCTGAAATTTCATCTGCAAAATATATGTAAAGGTTAACAAGACAAGATGAGGTACGGGTAAGGCGGTGCCTGGTTCCATCCACTTGGAACGCCTCCCCCGGGCTCTTTCCTCTGGTGTGTGTCCCCCTCTCACTGTGCTGTCCTCAGTTGGCCGAGCCATCTGGAGGGTGAGAACATGACAGGGACACGGTTTCCTCCTGTAGACCCTCCCCACCCCGATGGGCCTGCCCCGGGACAAGGACATGCCCCTGCCTCGCTAATCCTGCAAGCGTATCCTTTGGACGTTTCCTGGTCAAAGCCATGATCGGAATAGACTTCAGCTGAAGTTTTTGTCCTTTATTGAGTTTGAGGCAGACTCTGGGTAAGATCATCATGTCTGGCGTCTCGGCCGATGCCATATTCATAAACCTTGCCTGATGAAGTTCCAGTCCCTTCCCTCTCCATCTCCCACCAGCGGTAAGGTTGATGGCTGTCCGTCGAGTCAGCCCTTGCTGAGGGTGTGTGCAAAAATACTACAGCTTGAGTGTTTCTGCTCTATGCTATCTAAATATGGTTATGAGAAAAAAAGAGTCAAAAAATTAGATGACAGTAGAGAAATGCATCTAATATTAGAGATTTCATTTTATGATTGCAATCATGCATGGTAAACCAATTACAAGCATGTTCCTCTACCCATTTGTGTTTGTTAGCACTAAAAATCTCATTTTTTAAAAAGATTTTATTTATTTATTCATGAGAGGCATGGAGAGAGAAGCAGGGACACAGGCAGAGGGAGAAGCAGGCTCCATGCAGGGAGCCCGATGTGGGACTCAATCCCGGGACCCTGGGGTCACGCCCTGAGCTGAAGGGAAATGCTCAACCGCTGAGCCACCCAAGTGCCCCTAAAAAATCTCATTTTGTGAAACAACAGCAATCACTATAAGGTGACCATTTCAGGCAAAGATGGTGTATCTTTGCTTTATTTTTAATGGAAGCGTAGTTGACACAATATTATGTTAGTTTCAGGTGTACAGTATAGGGACTCGACAGTTATACAGATGGTGCCAAATAAATGATCACTCTAGCAAGCATGGTTACCACCCGTCACCATACAGAGAGATTACCGTAGCCCTGGCCATCGTCCTTACACTCTGCTTG